TTAATCTGGGATCCATTTCGATGCTCCTCTTGACAGGCTTTTTTGTCCTCTCCGATGAACCAGGACGACCCAGACGCTTGCTCAGTTGTTTCCTTGCCGTGTTTCCTGAACTGCACGATGATTCTGTTGACTGTCGAAAGCGTGATTCCCAAATTCTGCGAAATTTGCCGCTGACTTATTCACCATCTGCTTGACCAACTATCCTTCATCTAACAAAATCTGACAATTCGAGAGAACCTTGAGTTCTAGGCATGTTGTAGCACAAGATAATTAATGTGCGGACCATTTTCATTTATTAAGTGCTCCGTGAACACAAATTAGTTAGCATAAATCAGTTAAATGACGAACAATTAGGTGTCTATTTACTTGTGATCACTCAGTGTATATATATATATAAAGAATCGTTACAAGATAATTCCACACTGCCCATTCTAGGACCCCAATTTGAGTGTGTGTGTGTGTGTCTGAAACATTATCATAAATTTTGTAATATCAATTCTTGAGTCTCACAAAACTGTACTTTGACTAATTACAATTAGTGTGTGTTGTTATAACAAAGCCACATCGGGCTATTTGTAAATCCGAGGACTTACAGCTGTCCCACCTGGGGACAATTACAATTAAAAAATGGGATTTTTGTATCCTTTCTTGTGCTTCACCATATGCTGCAGTTTTCCTAATTCCAAACTCGAAAGTGAGTGATAATAAACATTTATGTACATATACAACCTGTCGTCTAAATGAATACAAAAAGTTCAAAACAAGAGGATAATAAAATTGATCTTCCACCTGAATTGTATTGACCAGTGTAGTTGTTGTCAACCACAAAGCTACATATTGGGCTATCTGTGGTCTACTCACCACGGGTATCGAATCCCGAATTATTGCAACGTCAGCTTTCAGACTTATCACTGAGCCACTGGGGGGGGGGCAGTATTGACTATAAGAATTTTGAAAACGGAGTGGTAATAATCATGCTTGCGTTTTTTATAGCTCTAACCTTACTGATTATAAACAATTAGAAAACTGACAAGCAAAACCCGTTTTGGTATCTTGCATACCTGTTTGGTATTGATTGTAAACAGTTAGAAAACAAACTGGTAAACTCGTTTTGGTATCTTGCATACCTATGTAATATTGAATGTAAACAGTTAGAAAACTGAGTAGTAATAATCATGTTTGTATGCCTGTACCTCTCGTAACTCTGTTCTAACTAATTATGCAGAGTTGAGTACGTTATAGTGAAACAATTTTGAATATACAAATCACAACCCTCGTGACAACCACAGCCGATATAAAGCCGCAGTGGAAGGGAATGTATCAGAACTACATTGTTTGGTGTTATGTAGATAGTATAATGCCACCGAAAATCAGGAAGGCTATGTAACAGCCCTTTTCGATGCAAAATATTCATAAACTCAGATCATAAATATACGTTTAGATCGGAGATTTCGACTTACAGGATGGGAATATCCTTCATACATAATGGCATTGGAAAACAATGGAATACGAATCAGCTTGGGGCGCCAGAATCATCCAGAAAGAAGCATGCAACAAATGGCACTTTAGAAGTGGTAAGTAAAGTGCGGTATTTTGTAACAAGTGAGGATTCACGAACACAAAGACCAGTCGCAAAAACCGTCCACGTGATTCAATAAACACTTCACAACACAATCAAGAAGGATCACCGTCTGTGAACGAGGCCAACACAATAAGGATTCAACAAGATAGGGTTTCCAGGGAGAATTGGTACGCTTTTGACATGACAACCTTAAGACGGAGCCTTATGGAATGGATACTACGCTGTAGGGCTATTGTTAAGATGCAGGGCGTCAGATAGAGTATGACCGTACCTGATGATGGATGTAACGACTTGTTGTGGTTCTAAAACTGTTTTAAAATAAGGTGCTCAACCCTCTATAAAAATTAGAAAATGCAATGGTAAAAGCCATTCTAGTATTTTGTATATCAATATTATTGATTGTAGACAATTAGAAAATTGAGTGTTAATGATAATTTTGTATCTTTTATAGCTCTAGTCTAACTGATTATAAACAATTTAAAACTGAATTATATTGCTCATGTTTTTATTTTTCCAACATTTAATTCAATTTATTACAAACAATTTATAAAATTTAATTTTATTTTTCCAACATTTAATTCAATTTATTACAAACAATTTATAAAATTTAATTTGTAATATCTTTCAGATCTGTTATTTTTGTATCATATTCGATTTTATTAAAAATACCCTACCTTTGTCACTGGAAATTAATAAATTCATAGAATGTGATTGATCTTCCATCGTTCACTACAGCACTCTTTTCAGTTCGGGCAACAACCATAGGTGGATCCTTTACGTCATACGTTTCATAGTACTGATCACTAGGACATCCAGCTAGGCATGAAGACGTCATTTCCTTCTCTCCATACACACCTGTTTTACGACATGGTAAATGTATTAGTCATGATAAAACACCCAAATTGAGCTATAAACAAACATGTACTTATATTACGATCAAGTGTGGGCAGTTCAGTCAGATAACTTAACCAAATCAATTCGGGAATTCCTTTCTTCTCATTAATCCATTGATTATTTCCTTTTACTGCTTCTAAAAAATTTTTTTTGAGAAACTCGGATTTCTTAAAGATTTCCAGAAAGATTTGGTTTTTAAGTTCCTATATATACACAAGATGTGTTGCCGTGTCTCAAAAAACACCAGACCGTATTGTCATACAACTTTTGAAAATATCTTGATAATTTATATGCACCAAATCGAGCACTTAACATTTAATATAACATTTATTGTATTATAAAAAAGTTAACCCATTCTTGATAAGCCATACAAAGGTAAGAAGAATTTCAGTTGTTTTAAAAACTGGTGATTTTAGTTAAAAAATATGAACGACTTAGGAAGAAGGTTTCCAGTGTTGGACTTAACTAACAACACAGTTTCTAATGATGACCACTATGATGACCTAAACGACTACAACAGCTATTTAAGGGATCTTCTTAGAGAAATGAAGGAAGAGTATGAAAGTCGAAGAGACGATAATGGCCCTGAAAACGGTAAATAAATCTTCATGGCAATATTAATATTGCTCCTTAATTATTTTATAAATTAATTATTCTGCTGTTTATGCAGATATTGGTTGCAATAGAGAGCTGGCTCGATTAGTGATGTCGTTTAACAAATTGAATATACTAAAAATTATATATGTATTGAGCTTGTTTAACTTCTGCGATGCTTACAATTGGAGTCTTAAGCTTCGTATCATGTTTCTTTTCGTTTATTATTTTATATGTGATCGATGGTTTGTTTGTTTGTTTCTTTGTTTGTTTTTTGAATTTCGCGCAAAGCTACACGAGGGCTATCTGCGCTAGCCGTCCCTAATTTAGCAGTGTAAGACTAGAGTTAGTCATCACCACCCACCGCCAACTCTTGGGCTACTCTTTTACCAACGAATAGTGGGATTGACCGTCACAATATAACGCCCCCACGGCTGAAAGGGCGAGCATGTTTGATGTGACGGGGATTCGAACCCGCAGATTGCGAGTCGAACGCCCTAACCACCTGGCCATGATGGGCCATATGTGATCGATGGAAAACACAAAATTTCCGTAGAAATTCATTGACGGAAAACATATAAAATTTCCGTAGAAAGTGCAAATAAAATTCTATAGCTTTGTGAATTTTTAAAGTCTGATTTTGAATATGATAAAATATATATTAGATTAGAAACAGATGCATTTACGTTAGGTGCAGATTAAAATGAATAACTATTAACATTATTTTGATGTAGGCTTAAGTAACATTTCGGGCATCTTTTATTGGACGGGAAACTATCTACTCGATTTGTTTTCGTATCTTTTGACCACGTTTCAGTCTCTGTGCTGATTCATTCACACCACCAAAACTACATAAAAGAATATTTACAATTCTGTTATGGACCGGTGGTAAACCAAATTAACAACATTGCTGAATCCAAAGAGTAGCTACCAGATGTACCTAATTATCTTTTTAAAAACTCATTAGAAGTTACCAGGGGTTACTATTCAGTGTTTACATATACAGTAAACAATGACGAGAGTGCTGGCGAAATATTAATCGATCTTCTATTATTTTCGCGCTTTTCAGTTCCAAGGTGCTATCTCCAGAGCTAGCTGGAGTCTAGTTTTTCCCACAGATAGACTATAAGTTTAAGATGTTGTTACAATGGATTTTACATCCAAAGTTAATAAGGAGATCAAAGAGATTTTTTATATAACAGTAAAACAGTTACCTGAGAAAGAAAATTACGCCATCTGTAAAATGTCATAGAACAGTAAAATATATCGTTGAAAAAAATCTTTTTCATTAATGAAGAAGACGAAATCCCATTTTAAATACAATATATGTTGTATGTCTATTCGTAAACCACATGAAAAATCGCATATACTGAATGTTTCGTTTCTCTCGTTTTATTATTCTAGTGCTTGTGGAACTAGTTTTTTTTTCTATAGTAATTGCTATCTTTAGAAGTTTGTGTTCCAGTTACAAGTCTTTATAGTTTTCTGAACAAATTATTTCTCTAATAACCATAGTGATCGATTTGAAAGTAAAACATCCAATACCTTGAATTCAGAGGTAAGTAATCATTTTAATTACCAGCTTGGTATTTAGAGGATTTGCACTTATTTGAAATAACAAGTTTACTTATCAGTTCCGAACCTGGCAACAACAGTATTAACTCAGTCCACTTCCTTAGGCAATAATTGGTTCATTACAATATTTTACACATTAACCACCACCACCTTTTTATTCGTGGAAGTGTAATGTAGTGCAACTAGTGAAAGGATTATTCTAAGATAATAACTATAAAAAAAAAGGAAGTTGTGATGTCACTAAAAGTTCAGGATATCCGAAGAAACAAGTGTGTCTGTTTAGAGAAACGATTGTGATATTTGTAAAAACACAGAAATATATTTTTATATGTCATACTCTAGATATGCTCTTCTTCTACGTCCAGTATGTTAGGAATACACGTGGAATCTTACATTTGTGTAATTTTATAGAATAAACCAAATTAGCTCAGACAAGACTCAGGCAATAAAACGTTTCTTTTATTCAATAAAATGTTGCATTTTCTGTCATACAAAACGCAGTTGTTTTATAGAGGTGAATATTAAAGTTGATATTGAACGAAACTACTAACAAACTAAGAAAAATACATTTTATAATTTTAATTCCCAAAAACTTTGATTTTTTTAGTGTGAAACACATAAATGTGATAATGAACTCGCCATTCAACTTAGGCCTAAAACTCTCGTTTGGTTGAATATTATTTTATTGTTCTTTTTATCCCATCTATCCTCTACTTGATGATCCAGTGTAGCGTTGTCATGGTATTAGGATGTAGCTCAGATTACCTGATGTTGCTTGTAATTCAATGTTAATACGTGAGGGAGTATTTCGTTTCAACAATAATATAAGCCACATCATTTTTTTACTAACCTTATTTCAACCATATCTTGTTTGTTGTAAACCACTGTCGGCAAGGCCTTTCGCACAATACCAGAGCTCGTCAGACTTACTACTACCAACATATAAGGTTTCGGTTAAAACTCTAGTTATATCAATCATTTATGGGACAACAAGTCTCAGTATGTTGAACACTTTACCTGGAGGAACTTAACATTTATAGTGGTAATACCTGTGTGATGCGATTTAAATTATCAACAGTCTTATTTCATATCACACACATTTATTATTGTTATAATGTTCTTTTTATTTTGTATCTTCCCTACTTGGCAACAAAAATGCATGTCATTATTCATCGTTTTGCATGTGATTTTGATAATAATAAGTAACTAATTTCAAGGTAATTTATGATAGATTAAGTAAATAATTCTTTTGTTCACGCTATGTTACGATGAATTAATTTTATGAATCTTTTTATGCTAATGCACATAATACGTAACTTTATTTAAAGTATTTTATTTCTTTGCACCTTTATTCAATCTTTTCAATCCTATTTTCTCGCAAGAGGTTAATAATTTTTTTCTAGTTTTATAGTCACAGGAATTTCTCTAGTCGGAGAGGAGAGGGGAGGCGGTATAGTACAGAATGACACAAAACAAAATGGCACATTCTTTGTGAGTGACAAAATGACACAATTAAGAAACCACGTAGAGTAGTGTATACACAGTATCCATCAAAGGCAATGTACATTTGTAATTTTGTATGCTTTTCTATAATTAAACAATTATAAATGTACTTCACATTGGCTGGAATTGGAAGAAGTGTGATTTTGGAAAGTAGACATTCTTTCAGAAGGAGCAAGACCCTGGTGGCTCAACCGTAAGTCTAAGGGCTAAAAACGCTAAAATGTGGTTTCGATATCCTGGGTGAGAAGGGCTCAGATATCACATTTTATAAATTTATACTAACAAGAAACAATTAACAATTATGAGGGGTAAATGGTGGATATTGTGTATTTAAGATAAACTGCTCAATATGGCCTCCTACTGTGCTGGTAGTAGAGCTCTAGATTTCGGAAATAGCGAAGCGGGCTCCAATCCTTGTGATACCTTGTGTAACAGTCAGTATCTTAGCATGGATAGTGGGTGGTAAGGTAGTGCTCATTTCCTTCTAGTCAGTGCCACCCAGTGGCACAGCGGTATGTCTGTGGACTTACAACGCTAGAAACCGGGTTTCGATACTCGTGGTGGGCAGAGCACAGATAGCCCATTGTGTAGCTTTGTTCATAAATTCAAACAAACAAACAATTCTAGTCAGCAGTTCAAAAGCAGGGACGGCGGTAAATAGTTATGATAGCTTTGCCACAAATAGAAAATACAAATACCTGACTATGGCATTTTGTCTTGTGCTATTTTGTCACGAATTCATTATAAACATATGCGTATTTGCCAAAATGTAATTATGCTTTAACATAGCTTTTTAATTTCCAGTTTTCAGTTGATTTTATAAATTGTAAGAAATTATTTAATGTTTGAAGTTTTGCTTATCCTGGATGTTGCTCCAAGAGTGATACAACCTCTTCAGTTTTTTTCTCTCTTGTTATCAGAGATATATTTGTGATTCTCAGGTAATTAATTGCTAATTTTTGTTTTTCTTGAATCCTTGAAATGAACAGCTATTAAAGTAAACAGCGTGGACTTCTCGCCACGAGACAACGCTCGTAAACATAACACTCAAATGTATGAACTCGTAGAAGGTTCTAAACCAGCCGTGATCCTTCGACGTGGTCTGTCCTTCTTCACTACTTTTCAGTTTAATCGAAACTACGACCCAAAGAAAGATCAGCTCAAACTGGAAATGGCGTTTGGTGAGTAAAAAACAAAAACAAAAAAGAAGAAGAAAGATCTTGTCAATTGTTAATCATTTACTTTATTATCTTGTAACATTCTACTATATTGATTCTACTAGATTCGTTTTGAAGTACTGTGTTTGCACGTAATCTTTAAATACTCAAAATATAAAAACAGCAGAATATTATATCAGAATACTGAAGTTTGACATCATAATACCTAAATAATAGCACTAAATGCTATCATCTAACCTTCTTTACCTTGTGATATTACATAATTATTTAACATTTTTATGAAGGAAACTTCTATTGTTGATTAAAGCATGAAACACAAACACATTTTATTTTTACCCTGTACATTTCATCTGTTAGATCTAAGATAAATGGAGGAGTGGCTCAGTGGTTAAAAATGAAAATAATCGCACTTCAGGTCCGTAAGGTACTTTATAAGGATGACTGGGTAAATCCTCCTATTAGGTCACACAAGAATAGTCCAAGGGCAGGTGGTGGGTGCTGTTTACTAGGTAAATTTCGTCTATTCTATCTAGGAACGACTAACGCAAATAACTTTTGAGTAGATTTACGCGAATATCCGACAGCAAACAATCAAACTAAACTAAATTTTAACTTGTTTAAGATGGAGCTTCTATAAAGGAAACTTCCACACAATTTTATCATACATAGGTCGTCAATGATGTTTTTAGCCATGCGTTTGATCCTACCTGTTTTTTTTTTCTTTACAATTCCTTGACAATACTATACAACTGTCTACATTCATAAATTAGTTGCCTTGCAATGAAAGTGACCGTAAAAACTAGTTGACAAACTTCTAGCCAGTGTATGGATTTTAATGAGTGTTAACCACTGATTATTCTCAAATGGTAGTAACAATCGACAGGAGATTATTGTAACGTCTTAGATTCTGGGTGTCTTTCCTTAGTCATTGGATTTTTAAAGTGCGGAGTGTTTTCAAAGCGCCTTCAGATGGGAGTGTTACGTTTATAATATAGTTAATAATCATTTTTCTTTTTTTTTCTGGCGTAAGCTATGATTTTTATATAATATCAAAACTTTAAGTATATCTCGACACAAACATTAATGTATTTGTTATTCTTTTAACTTTCTTTAGGTTCGAATCCTCAAGTTGCTAAAGGAACCCTAGTTGTATTACCCATTAACAGCAATGATACCTTCAAAGAAGATAATACTCAATGGGACGTCCGGCTACATAGCCATAATCGTTCTAAGGTCACTGTTCTAGTGCATATTCCCGCATCTGTGGGAATTGGCATTTGGAAGATGAAAGTTATCTCGCTGGTAAAATCAGGCGATAGTCAACCAGTCTCATCCTCAGAAACTTATAAATGCAAAGAGAACATCTATATTTTGTTCAATCCGTGGAACAAAGGTAGGACAAAAATATATTTTTCTCCTAAGTAATTTTCCAATGAATTACATTAAGGTTTATAATCTAATTAAAAATATAAATGTCTGAAATCTAACACTTCTCGTTTGTTTTCTTTTTTCACCAACAGATGACTCTGTTTACATGCAGGACGACAAATGGAAGAAAGAATACGTTTTGAATGATGTGGGAAAGATTTTTGTTGGATCATTTCACTACCCAACAGGTCGACAGTGGGTTTTTGGACAGGTATTGTATCTCTAATAATATGACTAATCTAATTCGTACTTTGTTTTTTGATAAGTCTCGAATATATATTTTTATTCACTTTCAAAACACGTTATGTTTATATTACGAGTCCAACTAATAGTCAAATCCAATGAATAACTAAGATCGCGCAATATGGACTTCATGTATGTTATTTTGTCTTTTAGTTCAAAGACTCGGTCCTGCCGGCTTGTATGTTTCTTTTGGAACGTTCTCGTCTTGATTACAGAGCCAGATCTAACCCAGTCAAGGTAGCCCGTGCTATGTCGGCAATGGTAAGATTTCTTTGAGTTAGAAAATCCTTGGTAAAAGCTGGTTGCTTATGTCTAACAAATATAATTATATATTTTTATATTGTGTCTTTCTTACTGTGAAAAGCAGTACTCAGCACTGATTTTTATAAGCGCTATAAATTTAGATTATATTTAATAGTCAAAATTATTCCACAACGATGGAACTTCATGATAGTCTTTTCATTAGTTATACGTAGAACATTTTGGTATATCACTATAGCGTGGTAAAAACAACATTTTGGTATATCACTATAGCGTGGTAAGAACAACATTTTGGTATATCACTATAGCGTGGTAAGAACAACATTTTGGTATATCTCTATAGCGTGGTAAGAACAACATTTTGGTATGTCACTATAGTATGGTAATAACAACATTTTGGTATATCACTATAGCGTGGTAAGAACAACATTTTGGTATATCACTATAGCGTGATAAGAACAACATTTTGGTATATCACTATAGCGTGGTAAGAACAACATTTTGGTATATCACTATAGCGTGGTAATAACAACATTTTGGTATATCACTATAGCGTGGTAATAACAAAATTTTGGTATATTACTATAGCGTTGTAAGAAAATTCACTTAGTGTATTTTTATAGCATTTTACAAGAGAATGAATGTGCGAAATCTCCAAAATACTCAGAAAATGATTATTTTAGATATCAAACATTTTTTGCATTTTATATTTATTCTAATGTACTAAAGAGGGCGATAGCATTAATATTTCCTACTTGTTGAATAGAATCTATACTGTAAGGTACAAGAGGTTCTAACTTTTACTGGTTGTATTTCAAACAACCCCCAAGAAAACCGTTGTCATTATAAAAATACAAACCTTCTTGGATGAGCCTCTCATTGTTAACAGTTGCCTCCTTTGTTTTGAATTGCTGCTAGTACAATAATAATAATAACTACATCTAAAGCTTGATGTGTTCTTATTATGAAATACTAGACATATTCTCTATACTAATTTCTTTAGGTTGTTGCAGAACATTTTTTGTTTTATTTATATTAAAGGTAAATAGCCTGAATGACAAAGGTGTGGTTGAAGGTAGGTGGCAAGAACCTTATGATGATGGTGTCGCCCCCTGGAAGTGGACTGGAAGCTCTGCTATTTTGGAAGAGTACATGAAAACTGAAGGAGTTCCTGTGAAATATGGACAATGTTGGGTTTTCGCTGGTGTATGCAATACCGGTGAGTACAAGTTTTCGTTATTATTATTATTGCGCCTCGTCTACCCATCGTTGAATAATTGCCCTAAGATACAGCAGTTACTCAATTTATTCTTAATTTTCTTTTAAACAAATCTCCAGTAATCTTAAAATACTTGTATGACAGGTTGCGTTATTTGCGTGACGATGATATAGAATCTAGTAAGATGATGAAAAGGAAAACTGAGATTATTACTTTATTTATTACAAGCAAAAGTGTAATTCTTATTGTGCAACACAAACAATTTTAGGAATTGCTAAAAAGTTATAATTTCTACTTTACATTAAATTATGGGTTTTATCGCTTTAGTTTGTCGAGCTTTGGGGCTTCCCTGTAGGCCAGTGTCGACCTTCGTTTCAGCCCACGATGCAGACGCTACCCTAACCATTGACAGACTGTTTAATAAAGATGGAGATGAAATATCTGGAGGAACAAATGACTCAATCTGGTATTTTGTTATTGTTTTCATATAAATTACCCTCTTTCTCAATTTATAATACTGCTTTGGTATGGAGGAACATAAAAATTGTTTACAATTGAATGTTATATCGTTTTAACTTTGTTTTGAAACATTCACTATAAACTCTTACAACGTAGTGTAGAAAAAAAATCTTTTAACTATATAGTGAGCCTTAAGAATAATCAAAATTCTTTGCTAATGATTGTTTTCGCTATTCAGAATAAAGACATATGTTGATAAATCACTCTCTGTAAGGCATGGCCAGGTGGTTAGGGTGTTCGGGTTCGAATCCCCATAATACCAAACATGCTCGTCTTTTCAGCCGTGGGGGAGTTATAAAGTGATGGTCAATCCCATTAATCGTTGGTGAAAGAGTAGCCCAAGAGATGGCGGTGAGCGGTGGTGACTAGCTGTCTTCCCTCTAGTCTTTCACTGCTACTAGCGCAGATAGCCCTCGTGTAGCTTTGCGCGAAATTTATATCAATCTGTAGCATTCAAACAAAGGTGCTTATAAATGTTTAAGCACATTCTGAAGCATTAAGGGCTAATATAATGTTAAAGGATCTATTATAACTTGATTTCAAAAGGCACGTTTGGCCTGTTACTGGATGTGCAATAAAATATAAATAAATGTTTGTTTTGAATTTCGCGCAAATCTATACGAGGGCTATCTGCGGGTCATCACCACTCACCGCCAACTCTTGGGCTACTCTTTTGCCAACAAATAGTGCGATTGATCGTAACATTATAACGCCCTCACGGCTGAAAGAACGAGCATGTTTGGTGTGATTGGAATTCGAACCCGCGACCCTCAGGCCGATCCTCGCGAGTCGAGCGCCCTCACTACCTGGCCATGCCGGGCCCAAATATAAATGATGTGGGAAATACATAAAAATAATATCTACTTCTACATTAGAAATAAACTAAAGCAATCATTAAGAATTTAGTTACCATAACATTTTTAATTATCATAAATATTCAATGTTTTGTTAGCTTTTATTCAATTCACACCAGAATTAAAAAAAAGGTATAATTCCGAAAACGCTCGGGTTATTACATTTATTTTCATTTATAACTTTTCTAGTTTTCTTAATCCTATATGTTTAATGAATTAAGAAGTGAATAATTTATAAATAAACTGTCAATTCCTATCGTAGGAATTTCCATGTATGGAATGAGTGTTGGATGGCAAGACCTGATCTGCCCACAGGCTACGGGGGATGGCAAATCATTGATTCTACACCACAGGAAACTAGCGAAGGTATCATACAAAACACTCCAGATTTTATTCCAATTTATTCTTCTGGCATGCCGAAATTACGTTTGAATTTTTTGTAAAAAAGTGAAACATTTCAACAGAAAGGACACTGTTTTTTTGGATTATTATTTTAGTGTGTAATAGTTTTAAATAATATAATATTGAGGTGTTCCACTGCTACCTTGTGACCGCATTCTTAAGTTATTTGTTCTTAGCTCGAGCAGACACAACAACATAAGGACTTGAAGTTTCTGAGAATTTCAAATCTGTGAAAATACGAAAACAAATTAAGCGTGTGAAGCTTATTTCGGCTTTTTGATACAACCAGCTTATTTTAATATTTTTTATGTTTAATAACTTATGACTAAGTAGCGTATTTACTTAAATTGTGTTTGATGAATGATAATATAAGAACAGTAAACTATATAAATGTTATATGTTTATATTAACTATTTCCTATTTCTTTAGATTCATTGAAAATATGATAATTCCTAAATAAACAGTTAACGTTTGTTATACATTTTAAGGTTAAAAAACAAAAAACATTATATGGAGACATCATATAATAGTTGTTAGAAATTACCAGATAAAATATTATTGTAAATTGAACACCTATGGTTCAGTAACTTGACAAAATTACTCGATGTTGTGCTACAAATTACTTTCTAAAAATGATCAACTTTTGGCGAAATTCCATAGAAACATCAGAAAGCTTTAATTTTTTGGTAGCTCGATATGAAGAGAACAAGATTTGAAAATATAGAGCACGAACGAATTTTTCGTTAATACTTAACTTGTCACTTATATTCAGAGCTCGATAAACTATTCTCTTTGCTTCGTTTTTGTACATACTCCGTTGTTTATTTGACTATTCAGTGTTCTTGACTGAAAAAAACAACTATTTTAGTGTGAAACTTTTCTTTAGAGTATCATTTAAAATTCCTTACACTGTAATATGACGTTTGTCTTAATGTCTTTAAACAGGTATCTACCAGCTAGGTCCCACTCCACTGCTGGCTGTTAAAAGAGGAGAAACTGGATATAGATACGACACCCCGTTTGTCTATGCTGAAGTTAATGCAGATATTGTATATTGGCAAAAAGATAAAAAGTCTGAAAACGGCTGGAAGAGACTGAAAACAAACACTTCTCAGTAAGTATCTGAATCTGATTGATCCTTTGCCAAACGAAAATTCAAAGAAAGTTTTTGGAGTTAATTGCTCAGTTCCGGTCTTTGCATAGGTTTTTCTTTAGTTATAACCGATATTTAGCAAACTAAGAAGTTTTTTTTTATTTACAAAAAAATAGGTTAAACTTTCTCATAGTAGTAGTTAAAATAATTAAATTCAAAATATTTTATACGCATGATACTCCAAGAAATGTGGAAATTCAGTTGGGGTCGACCTAAAGAGAGTCCTACGACCCCAATGGACCACATGGAGGCATGCACACACGGGTATAAAGGAATTCATTTCATATTAATAAGCACTTTTGTTTTTCTCTGCTAAATCAATACGAAAAAGTGTTGATAATCCATATTAAACAGATGGATGTAAGATACGGTAAATTATAACTGATAATTGAAGGAAGTTGTTTTAGCAGAAACTAAGTTATCAACCACATTCTACTAAATTATCTGTCCATTAAAACGACATGTTATCCAGTTTTATTTTGTAATGACGTGTCTTTAATTTTATATGTTACAAACATAATCTGTACTAGATCACTTCAAAGTATAATTACAAGCAGTTAAAACTGTATTCCCCCTAAGATGACTTATTGAAAACTCAGTTAAAATGATCGATATCAGAACCGGATACAATGAATAGAAACCCCTAACAAAAACAATAGATATAAGCTTTCTATGTGCCACAAGCCTTTTATGTACTAAACACATAATCATCATGGAACAAATGTGAGTCCAGTATTAAGAAGAGAAAGAAAGAGAATCACATAATAAATAACTGATTACCAAGGGTTTGCTAAAATTGATGATATTTCTGATTTCGAAGAAAGATCATTCACATTAAGATCGAAAGTTGCCACAACACTAAGTTTCTATATTTACTTTAACAACGACTTTATATACTGACTTATACAGCATGCTATTGGACCAACACCGGTAATGTTCTGTGAATAAACAATAATCTGTATTGATTAACAAGATTTAAAGCGTCCTTTACGTTTCTTTGTACTGTAACTTGACGACGCTAAACAATCTAAGACTTTCTTTGGCTCACACGGACAGATCTTCTTAAACATGATACAATAAGACCTGATAGGAAAGGCAGAAGTAGAGAGGGAAAGAAAGGATTAGATTGGAGGCAATTCTAGAGAGGAATCCCAGATTTGCCGAGAAACCGGGACAGAAAGTCAGAGTTAAAGCCTGCAGAGCCATACCTTAGGCATTAGACAATCTGTGTTAATAGAACCAAGTTTATTCTTAATCTATGATAGAGCTACTGATCGATTCGGAACAATTTCATGATTATATTGTATTAAGTGCACATCATTTCAAATGTATGTAAATTGTTTGAAATGGTTTTAAACAATTGTATGTACTGGAATGATTTCAAAGCAATCACAATCGTCCACGAAGATTTGTTTGTCTTCAATACTCGAATGTTATAAATACAAACTTATCCCTGAAACTAGCAAGAGAGTTAATCAATTCCTTTATTACAATTTTATTAAATTAGCTGTACTAACCTATGGTCTAATCCTTAACCACATTTGGTTTATGATAAGCAAACATTCACGATAAAGGTACAAGTGTGAAGTTTATAGAATTCAAGTTATGTAATTTAAAATGTATTATTGTAATCTCTTCTGTTTGATTTTTCTATGCTTCCACAGATGAGTATAATTTAAAATAAGAACATGATAATACATGAAATACTAATTCCTCATAACTGGCCAACAATGTTTTGTCAGTACTGTTTTTGCATACAACTGTCTGTTAATGAATATTAATTAATGGAATGTTATTAAGTTTTACTCTGAGCACAAATAAATATACTTGATCAAAATGAGTCACCACATTGATTGAAAAGCGGTAAAATCTAAAAGAGAGTAAACTGAATCCCGAAAATCAGTTACCTAGGTTTTGGCAATAATATTATTTTTTATCTCATTTTCTTATAATTCACTATAGAAACTGATATATTATACCATTCTCTACTTTGTTACACATGTTGTTAACGCACATTTAAAGTTAAACCTGAAACGTATTTTATGGCAAACTTAACAAACATAAATTATATTTTTGATAACTGATCATCCTTCCAATCTTGCAGTGTAGGGCGTCTTATACTTACGAAGAAAGTTGGTGTGGACGACGACTTTGGTATAAATGATGCGCAAGATATTACGTACGAGTACAAGAACAAAGAAGGTGAGAAGAATGTGTTTTCTCTATACGAACATGCAAAATAATAATTCTTAATATTTATACGAAAGACGCCATGATAAGCAGAGGTAACACGTAGCTTCCAAATCAAGTGACTTCTTTTTAATGCTTTAAATCAAAAATATTAAATCATTTCTGGTCTTTCGAAGTCAAAATCTCGCAGAGACAATAATAATTAAAAATTTAACGTAACTTTGCTCATGGAAATTTCGGTAATACATGAGGTAATAGCCCACACATTAATCGATTTTTCACGAAATTAAAATTTTCAGGCGTTGCACAAAAGTATTTTGAAATGTCAGTTACAGTAGAGAAATGTCGTGGTAAAGATAACAACCGTTTAAATCAACAGACACCGTATATACAACCAAATAAACGGATGTTTAATTTGTGTCGTACAGGAACTGAAGAAGAAAGAATATCTATGCGGAACGCCACCAGAAATGCTATCGTGAGCCGTAGATTCGACACACGTCCTCGTCACAAAGAAGATGTTCATTTCGAGATCCTGGACATTAAGCAAGTGATGATTGGACAGCCCTTTCGTGTTACGTTGAAGATTCGCAACCTGAGCAGCGAGCCCAGAAAAGTGTCAGCCGTGTTGTCAACGTACAGTGTTTACTACAACGGAATCACAGCCAAAAAGCTCAAACGAAAAAACGACAAATTCACGCTTCAGCCCCAACAAGGTACGCTTAACCTCACACATGAATGCATATAGATTTCGGAAAGACTAGAATACTTAACTAGTTTAACATACCTCTTAAGTTTACTTGCTACACGTCTCTGTAATAAAATCATGTAAGTTTCATTGTGACTAATGTGAAGAATAACCTTAAACATGTATTTGAATTTTAATAGTTATTTCATGTTTCTTGCACAGCTTTCTGTCACATCTCTCAATCCTTTACTCAGAAGTATGGAATAAGTATCAAAATTTCAGTAAATTGCTATTTCAGTTTTCAATCCATTCCTCAAATGTTGTACCAGATAAAGTCTAATAGAAAGCTGCCCTGTTTAAAGCGATAAAAATCGGGTCGTTGATAACCTAATAGTAACTTTAATGTTGCGAAGGAGCTTATATTGAATACAGTAGTAGATTGTTTGTTTGTTTTGAATTTCGCGCAAAGCTACACGAGGGCTATCTGCGTTAGCCGTCCCTAATTTAGCAGTGTAAGACTAGAGGGAAGACAGCTAGTCATCACCACCCACCGTTACTCTTGGGCTACTCTTTTACCAACTAATAATGGGATTGACCGTCGCATTATAACGCTCCCACAACTGAAAGGGCGAGCATGTTTGGTGGGACGGAGATTCGAACTCGCGACCCGCAGATTGCGAGTCGAGCGCCCTAACCACCTGACCATGCCATGCACACACGAAATAGAAATTTATTGATAAGCTTGTGCCTCTTTCTTTCGTTATCACACGTTTAAAAAATGTATATTTGGCATGAGCTTTGTTCAATTATATATGTACAAGACACACGGGATTTGTAGAAATTAAGTTTTGCAGGAAAGAGAAAGAAATTGTACCTTTCGGGTTGGATATTTTAACCAGTTTTGAAATATTACTTTTACGCTCCTGTAGTAATAAATAGGTCATTTGATTTTACATACAATGTGTCTCAGTGTTACAAGAATCATGATCTGTTGTTACTACCTTTTATAAAAAAAAAAACTTGGCAATGCCAAATAAATAAATCAGGAATGAAACGAATATGTCTGACTTTAGTTTTTCAATATAATTTAATTTTTAAGTAGTGTTAGGAATGATCCACGTGAAGTACCAGCTTCTCATGGGAGCGATAAGTACAGAGATTTACTTATATATACAAGTTTGTTTGTTTGTGTGTATGTACGGCGATAATTTTTATTTATTTATTTGTACTCACAGAAGAACTTGTATCTTTCGGAGTGGCCACGAACGAATATCTAGACAAACTGGTGGATTATGCCATGATAAAAATCTACGCCCTAACTACAGTAAAGGAAACTGAACAAACTTGGTCTGGTGAGGATGATTTTGTGTTGGACAAGCCGAAGTTGGATCTTGAGGTAAATTGTGAAATCATTTAAATATGTAAATAAAAATGTTTGTTTGTATTGAATTTTGCGCAAAGCTACACGAGGGCTATCTGGGCTAGCCGTCCCTAATTCAGCAGTGTAAGACTAGAGGGAGACAGCTAGTCATCACCACCCACCGCCAACTCTTGGGCTGCTCTTTTACCAACGAATAATGGGATTCACCGTCACATTATAACGCCCCCACGACTGAAAGGGCGAGCATGTTTGGTGGGACGGGGATTTGAACCCGCGACCCGCAGATTGCGAGTCGAGCGCCCTAACCATCTGGTCATGCCTCAAATAAAGAATTCAGAGTACTTTATTCGCGATCGTGATTCTAATGAACATTACGCAAAATATAGTTTACAATTAGATGGTTATGTAAATGAATAATTAAAAAGGAATATGAGCAATTTATTAGAAGGCAATTTTTTATAATTTCTACTGATATATGTGGCATATTTTAGGTTTTATTTACTAACACTTACCAGTACTTTACCTTTAGATTCGTGGAACACCGAAAGTGGGAAGACCTTTCGAACTAGTTATCAGTTTCACCAATCCCCTCAAACGCGTCCTCGACGACTGTGTCTTCAATATTGAAGGGTCAGGAGTGACCGGTCCGTACCGCACTAAGTTCAGGTGAGTAAAGAATAAACAGGGTTTCCCGCCTTCAGAATAATTACCACTGTTTGATTGAAATTAATTGACAATACGTGGACATTTTATTTGCATGATAGTTATTGTGTTGTCGATTCATGTATCAAGGAACTGATACTATGTAATATGTTCTTGGTAATCAAGCACGTTCGTTTATAAATCAAGACGCAGCAGAATTGGCTTAAGCAAAAAAGTATACTCTTCGCTGTTATTACGAATAGGAAACTGAAGTTTTTTATAATAGAAAACGCAAATTTTGAAACAAGTTTTGACCCTCTTCCTCCTCATCTTCACTTTTAAATCACGCAGCAAATCTTTTGGACTTCTTTGCGTTTATTCTAATATTCTTTTAATAACTTTGAGACGAATTACACTAAAAGAAAAGAATAGCTATAACATTTTTATTGGCAAAATTCAACGTCCCCAATGACTATGAGACAAGAAAATTTTCTACAATATGTTTTTAAACCGTTATCAAACTAGAGAATAACAGCATCAATTTGTAAAATTTGGAATCTAAAACATGACACACAAAATATTTAAATGTGATATTTTAGACGTATAGGTAAAACTTTATTCTGTTCTTTCTAAGAATAACTTTTCTATAACACTTTAATACCATTACAGGGATATCAATCCTGGAGAAACTGTAACTCACGCTGAAAAACTCATCCCTCAGAAAGCTGGTTTGAGGAAAATCTGCGTTACTTTCAGCTCTCGACAGCTTATCCAGCTGATGGGATCAAACCAAGTTGAGGTGAAGCCTCAACCTGAGTTGCATGATAATGAGATTTTATGAGGATTTAGTTGAATTTACTTATTTTAATCTATTGGATAATATTGAACAGATTTTCTATTCTCACGTTATTAGATATCCTTATGTGATTTAATCTTGTTTCAAGAAATATTTCCAAAAACATAAAATATAGATTTTGATCAGATAAATTTTATCATCAGGGTTAGTTATAGTGTTTATGATGTTTAGTTGCACTGTAGTCCATACTTTAGTCCTAAACGTTTTATTCCGTTGTTATCCTGTATTATTCGGTGTACCATGTATTTTTAAAAGTACTTCCGAACCTTTTTATTTATCTATTTATTATTTATTTGAATTGTATACGATGACCTATTGAATTATGGATGATATATATATATTGTACTATCAAACCATTGTTTACAAGTTATTATGTTAAATAAACAATTAAAATATATCTTAGCTGCCTGTTTTAGCATATGATAATCTATAAAGTTCAGTGCTTTGTCAAGTATAATATAAGATTGTTGCTGCAACCTGTGACAACCGAATAAAACATTTCACATACACCTTGAGAATTTGTCAGTTTCTTACAATTTTCAAAAAGATAATAAAACTGGAAAGATTATAATTCTGCTCCATTGGACGAGAAATCAACCTAATCTTCATAACTTTGGTGTTTTGAAATGTCTTCTAATTAGGATTTACATTTAGTTTTTAATAATATAATCTTCATATCTTTGGTGTTTTGAGATGTCTTCTAATTAGGCTTCACATTTAGTTATTAGTAATCTAGTCTTCAGATTGTTAGCTCAAATTATTTGTCTTTCCAATAAAAAAACCTTTAAAGAACAACCAGGATTAATTGATTACATTTTTTTTATCAAATGAATTACATAAGTGAATTCAAAGAACGAATTGATTTCTAAGAAGTGGCTACAAAAAGAGATCGTCTCTCTTTTGGCAATTTTATAGCACAAAAAAAAAAAACAACTTACTGTTCTTTGAACATTATATTGTGCCAAGAAGTGGTTTTGAAAATATTTTTTAATTATTGTTTATCTACTTTGGAAAGGGTAATGTAGACATATTCTGAAAGTAGCTTATATATTGAATTGTCAGATGCAAAAGACCCAAATATTTTGTGAATCCATTGTCTAAAATATGATTTCGTCACACGTGTTGTATTTGAGTTATGGTGTTTCCAAAAGGTTTGAGTCGTTAAGAAAATGAAGAAAAGTCAATTTCACTGGAATCCTTTGATTTGAAATTAATGTAGAATATCATAAAAATGAAAGAGCAATCTCTCTCTCTAACTGACGGTATATGATCTGGTAAATTATGTCATATGTGATATTTCGTACCAATGTATGTTCTGTATTCCAACGACATGTTCCAATTTACTAAGCAGCGATGGTTTTCTTTTTTTATATTATGTTAACTAGTAACATCATTGCAATATGCCCACTGATCGAATGAATTAGAAGTGTTATCTTCTAAAATATGTAGCTTAAGCGAAATCAAAACGTGATGAGCAAATGCGTTGAGTTACACTACAATAAAAGAAAAACTCTCTAGTAACAAATAAATTCGTAGTTTCATAATACGACAAGACTTGATAGATAAATTAGTATAGTACATGTTCGAAAATATGAAGAGGAAAGATCTTGATTAAATATTGTCCATATTTAAAATTTCTATTAATCTGTATTGATGCTAAAACAATGTATAGATATGGTGAAGAAGAAACAACTTATAAATGCATTCTTAGTTTTATTTTAAAATATATTTTTAATTTTGGTATTTTATTTCTTTGCTTATGATAGAATGTAACGATCTTGTTTATCGTGGATGGTTCTGAAAGTTGATAATTTTTTTCCATTTAATTTTAAGTATCGCTGATGTCATTTGTAGCCTTGAATTATTTATTAAGTTGAAATTATCTATTAAAAGAAGATATTCAACATCTTAATTTCGAAAAAGTTTTATAACATTTATGCATAATTTAAAATTTTACAAAAGATTTATATTTTTCTTCACATATAAGTGACACTCATCGATTGTTTAATCTTTTATTTAGCATGTTCTTTTCGTGAAAGAATTATAAATAGGTTATTCGCCCTCTGAAATATTATTACTAACACCAATGTAAAAGCCAAATTATTAATATATATAATAAGATTACAATACATATATAGCATTTGAATCAGACTGAATAAAATACGAATGCAGATAAACAATGATATTTTAATGTCAGCAAAACAAGCTATTGTACGATTTTTTTAAACTTTTAAAAAATCTTAAATTCGAAAATGCCTTATAACACTCAAGCATAAATTGAACATTTTACAAGATACTTATATTTTATCCAAATATGTTATAATCGTCAATTGATCTAGCTTTTAGTTACCAAGTTCCTGTCGTGAAACAAGTATATATAGGTTATCTGTCCTCCAAAACATTATTAGAAACACCAATTATTTATATATATGTAATGAGATATTAAATAGTTATAGGATTTGAAAGTGCCAACAAATCAATACATTGTAGATACTTCTAACCTTTAGAAATATATATATATATATATATAATGGTAGTTTAGGTTTTTGTTCATAGAAACGTTATCTCTGAAGCCACCAACGTTGATAATTAGTTGAAGCTCCTTGTGTTTCTTGTCACTGCCGTTTACAATGTTGCAGCAATCTTAATCTTGACAGTTGTGATATTCCATGCAAGCGTTGATAGAGACTGATTTCACATTCTAATAGTAATACCAAAAATTAGTTCATAAAGAATTATATGATGATTATATACTATAGAAAACAACAATATGTTTCAAAATACATATTTTTTTCCTGATTTCATAATAGAAGTAAATATATGTTTTGAAGATAGAGATTATCAAGAACTTTTTATTTAAGCTATGGTATCTGGAATAGCTGTATATCTCACCGACAACGAATCTTGAAGTAACAAAGCTTCTTTTGGAAAGTGAACACAACGACGAATGCACCAGATCATTCCCACAACTACAAAGATTGTAATCGACGTTCCAAAAAATACGACAGCTCCAAAGACACTTGAGTGTTCTTGATGCCAGCTACCTTCTGAAACCCTAGACACCAGAGGCTTAACTGTTGGTTCTTTTCTGTCGGTTAAAACTGAGATGTTTGGGTTCCTGGAAGGGTTCAGATCAAACTTTGGATGCCATGATGGATCGTGTTCAACACTCTTCAGTTCCTTAACAGAGACATCAGAATTAGTCACCATCAGGTGGCTAGAAATTTTAATTGGTTCTAAAACTTGTGTTGCAGAATTTATATCCGGAAATTCTGTAGCTTTAGAATATTTCATTCTGACGTCTTTGTTTTCATATGTGTTATTTGTTTCTACTAGAAGACGACAGAAAGTTTCACTTGGAATAAAACCATCTTTGCATTTTTCTTTAGAAACGATCATGCAAATCTTACCATCTTCTGGCCATGCTGCATATGGCTTTTTCAAAATTAGCTCTTCATTTCCTGAAAGTTCTTTTACAAATACTTGCTTCCACAGTAGGTTTACCTGATTTGTCTTCCAAACCTCCTCTCCTGTCAACTCTCGGACCCAAACCCATAGTGTACTTTCGCTGTCTGTCCAGGTAATGGGTCTAGACGATAACGGCGGAGTTGTTTCTAAATTGTATTCCCGCTCTATTTCGAGAGATAAGAAGAAACTACTAGTATTCAATCTCCATAGACTTTCTCGACCATAAGGAATATCAGCTAACCACGCATAGAAGGTATTGCTAGACGATGCCCATGTGAACCCATGAGAGCAATACTCTTCTGGATGGGATACGTTCTTCAGCTCTTGGGGTACGGCAGCCATCTTAATCCATTTGGTTTCTTGAACATCCAAACGATAAATAAATTCTGACCACAGGTCAAGAACAATGAACTCCTGATCCGTACACCAAGTTACGGCATGATGCAAGGAGACAAATCCATCATCAAAAGTGACTGGTTGCCACTGTTCAGCACCAATGTTAACAATAAAAGTATTATTTTCATCTGAAACGATCAAATAGTTACTCCTGTATCTACAATGAATATCCCAAGGCATAGAAGTATTCAATTCTTCTGGCACCCTTTGGTGAGTCCACATACCTGTTGTTGAATTATACCACCAGAGAACGTTATTCGATATTCCATAGATGTCCCCGTTGGGGTCTTTCCATCCAGAAAGTAGACCAAATTCGCAAGGAATGTTTACAAAGGGTTTATCATGGAGTATTTCTGAAAAAATAAAATAAAATTAACGCCCAACCTACATGACAGGGAGATATGTTTGATGGGTTGATTACCAAAGAAAACTATCTGGTATTTTTTTTTTAAATTTTGAATATAACTTTAAATTCCTTGCGATATATTAAATCTGAATTTCCGTCCAGCGTGACCGAATTTGCACTATTTTCTAGGTTATGAAGGAGTAAAACCTATTCCTCCATATAAAATACCGCATAAATTACGGTGGTGGCCGCATAAGCGCTAAATTATTGGGGGCATTTGATTAGGAAATGTTTATATTTATTGGCTATGTCTTCCTAAGTAAATCCTACAGTATGCGCTTGTACTATACAGATCTAATAGCTGTTTTATAATCCCGAACCCAAGAACTTCCGCAAATTGGCGTAATAACGTATTTAGTATGGTCATATGATTTGAATGGTGGCATGGTTAGTGAAAAATTAAAATGAATAGAGCAAACTGTCAGAAGTCTTGATATTACATTCATTTTAAAAATTATTGAATGTTCTATATTTTTCCTCTACAAAACATAGCCGAATCTCTATTTTGTATTTACCTACCAGTTCCACAACTTCTATTAACCCTAACCTATATTTACCGATTTCTAATTTTTTTTCAGTTTTGATTTAATACCTAATGGGTCAAATACATGTTCTACTTAAGAACACGTTTCATTACATTCATCTAAATTAATGAGTCTTCTATATCACAGCTCTTGAGGTCAGAATCTATTAGTTAGCTGATATCTTTATGTAATAAATCAGAAACAAATAAAATAAAAATAAAAATCCCAATCATTTTAATTTAGGCTTAAAAATTAGAGCGGTATAACACTGGCCGTCGTCTTTACCAAATTATACTGCAGAAGACGAAGGACTGGATGTTGTGGCTTGAGCACATGCTGTCGCCTATGTAGCTATACTTTTCTCTCTCTTTCTTTATGGAATTTTGATTTTACACAATGGAGTTTCTGTGATGATTTCGTATTTCATGTATTCACTAATTATTTACTAAATTATTTAATACATGTATACCACAAATAGCTTTGACAATTTTAGCTGCAAATGACCAAACTGAGACACACAGTTAAAAATGGTGTAAAATTTTTAACAAAACCTTAACCAGTTAAGTAAAAATTACTTTATTCTGCTAAAGTTCATATTGTACAAATAATTTCCATGCCTCCAATAAGACTTTTACTGAATCATTTTTCAAGCAAATATACATTGGTGTGAGCCTTTTTAGTAAGAATAAATACGCATAAATTGCACACACACACACATATATATATATATACAAATAATTTAAAGACAACAAGGGACTTGTCAGTCCATCTAGGCCATCCTATCCACTAAACTAAACTTTAAAATAAAATACTCAAAGCTAATCCTGATCATTCAAATATTTATCAAACCTTCCCTTAAACTCTTTTAAATTAACTGCATCCACCATGTAAACAGTGATCATTTGCATCCAGATATTCCACAATCTACTCCCTAACAACCATTTTTATATTAAAAGTTAACAATAAATCTAAAATAACAATGTTTCTAATAGGTTCCTTGATCGATTGATGAAGATAACCATCCTGAATAATTTCTAAAAACCTGTCTCCCTCCTGATTTGACTTTAACATTTCTTAATCTACATACCTGACATTAAAATCTTTCATAATTATGGCCTCATTAATAGCTGAATTCTTTATCTCACTATAGAGTTGTTAATTAATTTCATCAGTTTCATTTGGTGGTCTGTAACAATTCCAACTAAAAGCCTTCTCTCCTTGTAACCATTGACAGAAACTCGAACAGATTTAACCTTATTGCTATTATCCTTGATCTCATCAACTTCAACGGGATTTAACTCACATTTTACATATAAATCCACTACTCTCCCCCCTTTTTAGCACTATATCCCTATTAAACAACTTATAACCTCGTACTTAAAAGAAATTCCTGTCACCAAAATAGTTTTTTTAAACCAAATTTCCGTTATTCCCATTGCATCAAAATCCTTTGTTCCGACTAGTACTCTAAAATTTTCTATTTTATTTCTTATACTTCTAGTGGTACAACAACAACAACAATCCTACCATTAAAACTACTTCTGTACTTTGTTTCTACACAATACCCCTCTCTACATCATATTTTACTTCATTATTCTGGCCCTCTCCCATGTCCAATCCTTGTTTAAAGTTGTATATACAGTTGAATCAATAGCGCTTGCAAACAAGCCTTCCCCTACCGTACTTTATTGTAAATCTTCCATTCCAAAAAGCTCTCCTTTCCCATTGAATTAATAATAATAATAGAAAAAAAATCCGACCAGTCAGTCTGCTCTAATTACATATTAACCAAAGCCAAGCATTCACTCCTGGTGACCTACTTACAAGTCCATCTACATAATTAAGTCTTGGCAGAATTAAGTTATTATGGCCCTTTTATTCAAATGTCTTTATCAAATCCTTATACTTATAAATAGCTCCTCTGACTTACAACATATGTGCAATACAAAGGCTGCAGCACTGTTAGTTTCCTCTTCTATATCACCTGCTCTGTGAGTTATGTTTAGGGTGGACAAGACCACTAGTACTTATATATAGGATGACCAAAACGTCTATTTATGACACTTGGTTTTGCTTTTTATAGAATAACTATTTTTATATCGATTTCTATCTCAATTCTTAAATGATGACTGTGAACGACGCACTTAAAATTACTAACTCTTTTTAGGCATATTAATAGTTTCACCACTGTTTTAGGAGTTGGAGAAATTACCTTTTAGTGTGTGAGAGTCGAGTCAAGCTTTAATTTCTATGATCGTCCTCCGGTGGATCAGCGTTAGCTTATAGACTTACAACGCTTAAATCCAAGGTTCGATTTCCCACGGTGGACAGAGTGCATATAGCTCATTGTATAGCTTTTCGCTAAAAAAACAGCGCTATTATGATAAACGCAAGCTTTTTCATTGTCTACAGCAAAAGGTACAGCGATGGATCAGTTTTATAAGTTTACTTGTTTAAAATTGTAAATTTAAAATTTGTGTCTTTTTTTACCACTGGTGAAGCCTATATTCGAAAAAGTATGTCCTATCAAATTTAGAAGCAAGGGTATGAAAGCTTTGTAGTAAAAAAACTACTGTAGTAGTAAATCCCACTCAGCTATTTTTTATTGTATAATTCGATGCAATAACACCCATAAACAACCTTAGAAATACATACTTTGAACACTAGTGAGAAAATGTTAATTCATGTTTTTTAATTACTATCAATATTTTTGTATCAGAGTAAAAAAGTATCGTTCTTGAATTTTATCTTCAACTACTATCATTACTTGGTAATTATGTACAATCTGAAATTTGTTGCGATCTTTGTTCATGATTAAAACAAACGTAGAATTAATTTGATTGCCTAGGTGGATTACAATACTCGAGATAATAAGTGCAAGTTATATATGTATATCTGCAATAAAAATATGGCGTTATTGTTACTAATTGAACTGAAATCAAAAGGGTTTATTTGTTTTTAAACACAAACCTACACAATGGACTATTTGTGCTCTGCCTACGATGGGTATCAAAACCCAATTTTTAGTGTTATAAACTCCCAGAATTATCGCTGAGCTACCCGGGGGAGGGAGACAAATAAGTAATAAATTAACACTTAGAAACAACGTATTTGCTTTGAATTTAATAAAAAGTAACATCATCTAATAGCCACAATTTTTTAATTTATGTACATAATATTTTTACCCTGAATAATGTATAACGAATTAATTGTTTTTAAACTGAATATCTTACTGAAAATAAATATATAATAATATAATCCGAATGTAATTTTCCCAGAAATACGTGGACCTTTTTTTAAGACTCACAATGTACTATCATATCAGCCATGGCCTAAGGTTATCGTATCGGGCTATGTTATGAGGGTCCGGAGTTCGAGTCATGACGCCATTGAACACGCTTCACAAATTAAGTTATAAGCGCGTTATAAAAGCGAAAATCGCTGTTGGGTTCAAAAAGCTGGCCAAAGTCCTAGACGATGGGTGCTACTGGCTGGCTACCTCCTCTCTGACCATTATCAAAATTAAGGAAGATTATTCCTGAAATTTGCTCCAGGTCAACACAATTACCATTCAGGTTAATTCAGATTCAATGTTTCTAATGTTGTGCCCAATGTTGCTTCTATACTTTTATGTCAATCTTTAAATAAATCATAATAGTATATTAATTATAATACTGAGCTCTAATGATAAATTAAAAAGAAGGTGTTAAAAGTTACTATCTTCAGTCTGTGTTCCACATTTTAGCTTCTAATCTTCTAATTGAGCCCCATGTTTTGGCTTCTATTTTTCTGATTGTCCCTGTATTTTTATTTCTGATATTCATTCTTTTTGTGTGTGTTTCAGTTTTTCTTTATGTTTTGATTTCTAATCTTGCATTTGAATGTTGTGTTATAATTTTCAAATCCATAGTTCGAAAAATATTAAAAATATGACTATTCGTGTTCCATTGCAAAGAAAAACGTTTCAACTATCCAATAACTTAACTTTTTATATTTTAGTCATGACTTTATCAAGTTGTTTTTCTCATCATTTAGAAAATAATTCTGATATTTAGTTTTTCTTCGTAATCCTAAGCCTAATTTGTTGCTTTAACAGCCTTTAAATTCCCTCATATCTACTACCATAAAACACAACAAAATTTAAAAATTCGTATAAAAATATGTAAATACGTATCTCAAAATATTTAAAAGGTAGTGAAAATTTATAATATCATAGTTATGAAAAGGCTGATACCACTAATATATAATAATGTTAATCAACTTCTATCAGCTCATTCATATGTAAATCAGCCACCTAACGATAAGCTATGTGTTCTTAAATGCAAATTACTGCTCATTCATAGTGTTTTTTTTAATGCATTGTTACTCAATCTTGGTTCAGTTGTCACTTTGAAGTGAACGAAGGAGTTTACAATTCTCGTGATTTATCATGGATCATGACTAGATCTCATATAAGTTATCTAGTAGCTTTACTGAAGTAAAAGCCATTGAACGAATGGAAGACTCCCAACCACAAACTGTTGCAAGCAACTGGCTAAAAATGTTTCAGAATGTCGTTAGCAAAAGATGGAACTCCTCCCAAACCTATGGTTAATTTGCTCGGATACCTGAACAAAGCAAACCTACATCTAGAAATACAAACAAACGACTGCATATGTCGGTTTTGCTTCGCTACAATTTAAGGTATCTGCTCTGAAAATGAATTTAAAGTTCACAGCAGTAACTGGACGTCCTAAGTGCAAAGACGAATAAAAACAGACTTCAGAAAGCCAGGCTATATGCTTGACGCCCAGTGAAGTACATTCTACTCATAACAAGGTACTAATCAGTTAATCTGCAATGTCCACAACATGCTCATTAGGTTATTTTTTACAAATGTGACATATTTAATCCTGAAATAAAGAACACGCTTATACTTATTTGGAGATATAAAATGGTGTGAGCAGTAATAAGCGTTGTTGGACGAATACACCTTTAGATCATGCGGAACGGTAGAGCTAATTTCATACATTAAATAGATCATATATCCTGTTTTAATTTTTCGGCATCGACTAGTACAAATATCTAATTTATATTAATGGCCGCTCCATAGCGAAGATAGTTATTGAAGAAGAGTAGATTGACTGAATTGATTGATCTGTTGCTCACCTTACTTTAATCTCATCGAGCATATATATATATATATATGTATATATATATAAAGTTTTGGGGAGACGTGGTAAATTCTAACAAGCGACTCCAGCCACTAAGAACACACTGGAATTAGGAAGTTGTTTCTGGGGTTTGGTTGAGGACAAATAAAACAATTGATTTTAAGCGCGCTACATTGATGATAGAATACCCTTACTGTTCGTAGTGTGACCGTATTCCGTAACGAAATGAAATGTCATGAACTGTAAAAAAGCTAATCCACTTTTATTAAATATTCATTTACGAGTGCAAACTGAATAACTAATAATGTGAGATCACAGACGCGTCATCAGATGTCTGATTTTTCTTGACAATTAACTAAAGAAGTAATGAACATTAGTTTATAAAATTGCTTTGCTGACACAGTTGAAAAATTATAAATTCCAATTATATTGAATGTGTTCTGTACAGTATATGAAAACTATGCACAATATTATTAAAATACACTGATGTATATAAACGCTTACATTAATAATAAGGTGCACAAACGAGTTACATCTATAAGTTGCATGTTAGAAGCAGCTATCACATATTGCGTAATACCAGACTTCAGATAAAGAATCGTTCTTCCTAGGCCTATTCATTACCATATGGGATTTGCTACATTGGAACGATGCACTAATTATAAAACATCTTATGAATACACATCCTTACCTTCAGCTTTCCCTCCTGACGGCAAAGTCACTGAGACCAAACACAGAAACAGTAATCCTACGCTGAAATACATTTTAGTCTGTAATATCTTTAAGAGCGCCATAGTTACACTTACAGTTTGATACAGAGTGATCAATATACTTAACCAGCACAAATTACTTCAATATTGAAGAGAAGCGGAATTATTTTTGTGCATCAAAATTACAATCACCTGAATGTATTGATAGAAAAACTGTAATGATTAAAGTGTTTTAAGCAAAACTTCAGAATTTATTATAATTCAACTATACCTCAACCAGTTACTACTACCAAACAGAAGGAAGGAAAGAGCTTGAGGTAGCTAACACTGGGCTTCGATTGCATAAAAATGAAGGGCTATCGATTTCTGAAAACGGCGCATTCTCCGAAATTTAGTGGCAGATGACGTCATTGTGTTATATAAATAGACTTTCTAGCCCTTCTGTAATCATTAGTTTTCTACTTCAGGCTAGTTAATAATTTATAAAACTATATTTCTTTTAATAAGATTTCTGAAACATTTTGGTCATTTTAAATGATATAAAACACGGAATAACTACGACGATATAATAAGCAAATTTCACTCACGCTGTTATATAATTCGTATTTTCTTGTTGCGTTGTCTTCTGTGTGTTGAATTTTTGTAAGTTCATGCAACTTTAAATTCTGAACATGTTGTTGTTTAGCATGAGATTGGTATTATTTTTCTTTTAATTTCAGTAAATAATCAATAAGAAGTTATTGGTTTAGTAAGCACAAGGAGGAGCAGCGACAGTAATGACAATATATCCTATATATAATGACACATTTAAATGGTTCATTACATTTAAACAGTCAGAATAATTTAATACCAAAGACTACAAACATCTGTGCGAATGAGCCATGAAGGTCGTAATATTCAGAATCTATGTGAGACCAATAGCCCAAACACACAAGCATCGCTCTCAATGTCCCAACTGGTGCACTTCAACTGTAAATAATTAAGGCAAAGATGACAGTTACACATTACAGCATAACCACAGCTCCTCCTCTACGATTGTACATTAGTTTGATATTCCATTCACACACACACACACATAACAGTAAGATTTTAACATCTCAGCAGAAATAACTGTTAAAGTAGAAACACAATATAAAGCTGTTAATGTGTTGTGCCCTCTACAATTATGGGAAGTACAGATTACAGCTGTAGCAGTTGACAGAATATCTCGGATAGCACAACAATTCTTCCACAGAACCATAATCACTCTCATTTAGAGTCCCATACATAATGATAAAAACATACACCAAGAAACCCTAATGCTGGATGGTGAAAAGAAACATGGTATTGCTACTCTATCAGAGAGATATTAACGTATACCACCTACAGAATCGGTAATTGTAGGCCTTCACGTGCCCACATCAAATGAACTAATCAAGACCAAACTTCCTGTTCTGGATTATGCAAAAAGAAAAAAATACATAAGATGGTAGATTCCCTTACTACAAAAAATAAAAACAAAACGAAAACATGCTACATATCATGGACTACTTAGCCTGTGAATCTGGAACCTCCCGTACTTCACCCAGCAGCAGTAATTGGTTTACCACAACTGTTCACAGAAAATTCCTAGTCAACAGAAATGACTCACCATACCATGAATATGGGGAAGCGTGCCACTGAATATGTAAATGTAGAATATAAGCAAACATTGGGCCAGCATAAATAAACAGATTCAATGGACTTGACCAAAAATATATGGGAGATGACAAATACATGAGAGTTTTCAATGGGCTATACACAGAAAACCCATGTTAAATGTCTTGGGAGATTGATTGAAAAATCGGGGTAGTTGGAAGCACTGGTACAGTCGGAGGTCTTCACACATAGCAAAACTGAAGCCATTATTGAAGAGCCTCTCGTAATAAGAGCAAGGTATGCTAACTAGGTATGTGTTACTGTTTTATATCTTCTACAGGTACATGCATACAACATATAAGAAGTGTCAGTAGAGACATGGAAAGTTGAACTGCTTTCATTAGTTAGTGTTAGGTATAATGTGAGTTATATCCACAACTTAAATTGTGGACTATGGCACTGAAACTTGAACTCATGTACCTTCAGTATATGTGCTCTTTCAGAATAGCCCCCAGTGGCTCAGAAGTAAGTCTGAAGGCATATAACGCTAAAAATCGGATTTCGATACCCGTGGTAGGCACGGCACAGATAGCTTATTGTGTAGCTTTGTTCTTCCAAACAAATAAACTAAAGCTTTCAGAATAACATGCCTTTCTCTGTTTTTGGCAGCATTAGTGCAGATTTCTCATGGTTTTTTGAATTTATATTTAATCACAACAACTATCCATATTAAAGACAAGATGGAACCGAGAACAAAATTCTTTGAAATCTATCAGTACTTAAAGGAGGACATGTTTGTTTAAATTTAGTGAAGACATTGTATTATGTATTTCCTTGATATATTTCGCTAAAGTTAATTCCTCTATAATAAAACTAGCAAGCCGTTCAATATTTGAGACTAATGAAGTCTTAAAACACAAATTTGAGTTCATTTTTCATAACAAATAAATGAATTGATGACCAGATTGTTATACGTCAATAATTAACCATAAAGATATGATGTAAAAAGTTGGCAATATTTCCTCTGGTTGTGTATATAATGTATGGTTTACGTGTTTATAATATTAAGCATTCCTGATCTTAATTAAGAAGTGTCATTGGAAACTGGTGTACGAGAAATTACGCTATTGGTTAGGAAGCGCTTCCATATACTGCTAACAACACTTACAGACAGCCAGTTCATAACAGCCCGTTGTGATTGGTTATCTTTCATTCTTTTGATGACTCTTCACGTGGATAAAATACCCAAATGTTCTACACGGTTCACAAACAACTTGGAGCACTTAAAACTCTGATTTACTTCCAAGTAACAACTGACACATCGTGTGAAACCACTACTAAACATGGCTTGATCTGAATACCCAATCATTTGCATTTCAGGTCAATCCGCTGATTATCAAATGCCTGATTTGTATAATAATGAACTAAAAGAAGTGATTGGCATTATTTCTTATGAAATAATATGACATATTTCGATGTCCTTTAATCGTTTTTTTACAGTATACATGCCTAGTAACAACAGCGATTATTAAACACATATGTAAAACAATACAATGAATGTCACGGTATAAAGAGCATATTTATATCAATCTTATAAATATTACTTACACATGGCTTGAAATATAACACTCACGAAATAGAAATAATGATATATCACCACGTGTAGTTACAGTTAGAAAGGACTTCAAGTAAACCAGACGTTAAGATATTAACATCGAATTAAACTTTATTCTATTTCTTACATTTTGACTTTATAATATAAAAACTATTAGCTTTATTTTGATTTAGATTGACTAGATCCACACTACCTATATCCAATTATAATATTAGAATTCCCACGCATGTGACAAAGTTGGTAAATATTATTTTCACATAGGTTCATTCAGTTATTATGTCCAGTAATTAGATTTTTCTGATCACAGCACCAACGTCTATATGCCCCACATTTATTAGCTTGGCTACAATGTGAAATTATATTTATTTCGAAAAAACATTAAAAACAAATTGTTACTTGCAGCCTTTGTCCTTTTAATTGAGTGAATTGAAATAATCTGACATATGACTAAAATCTAACTTTATAGTGTTACAGAATTAAGTTATTTTCTCGGTAGATAGACTGTGCTTTAGCTCTTCATTCATAAGTGAAACTTGTTACCAAATTCAATTTAAAAGTTTAAACACAAAAGACATGTCGAAAGGACCACCGTTCACTAGGTTTATACAAAAGCACGCATAAATACTTATTTACTATGTGAATCCTTACATTTCCCTTTCTTGTGCAAATACCTCTTTACCTGCCAGATTTTCAGCTTTGATTTATTGCATAATAGAACTCTATTAGTGTTATGACTAAGATATTGTTATCAGTTATTAATTTTTAGCTCTGTTCACTGTTGTTTGATTGATAATAAGTAATGATGCCAATACTACATAGAAGATCTCAGTCGAAATGATGATGCCCAAATGCTGAAGACTTAGCAGCAAGACACAAAATGTGGTGGCACATTATTTGATTTCGAGAGTTCCCTTACACTTCAGCTAGCAATGAAAGAGCTGGTCATGAACTACCTACTGACTGCAACATACTAAGGTATGGAGGTCAAGCCAGCCCACCTACAGTTGGTAGCAGAAAATGGAAATGGATATCATAGCAGGGATGTAAATGACATATTATAATATTTGTTAACACTCCCATAACAAGATCAGATATGTGCGTTCTTAAGTAATGTTACATTATTTCATTTTTTTTTTTTTTGCTGTGAAAGGCTGAATGATTGCTTACCTAAAAAAATGTGAGGAATTGAGTTTGGAGCTTTGAGGCTTTAAAGCTAAAGACAAGTGCATGTGTTTTTGTTGATAACAGTTTCCCGGGCAGTAGCCAGACACTTGCAGAAACTTAAAGGGTTTCTAACTTTTCCTGCAATTAATTTTGTCAAACAGCTCTACTGTAACTATAGTTTAACATTTTCATGAGATAGGTCACATGTTTTTTGCCATAATTATGTATGTTTATGTTTGTTGTTAAGCACAAACTTCACGAAGGTCTATCTGTGTTCTGCTCACCTCGGGTATCAAAACCTGATTTTTAGTGTTGTAAGCCCACAGACTTGCCACTGACCTATCGAGGGGCCCACAATTATGTAACTAACAGATCTACTTAGCTAGAACAATTCGAAAGGGGATAATATTCCATCCACTGACCCTCCTCAATCACTCTTTCTATAGGAGGGAGAGAGAATAAGTCTAATTCTTACATTTTACACTGACAGGAATTTTCATGGGATATGTAGAACATGATTACTTTTCAAAAACATTTGGGCTTGGTGTTCTCTGTCTCTTGGTTTTAGTAATTCTGAATGTGGGACTTTTGTATCCTTCTTGTTATTAGGTAGAGCAATCTGTTTGACATCTCGAGTCAAGTTTTGAACTCCTTCTTTTTGCACATTATTTTCCAGCATCAACAAAAGGTTTCCCATGTACGACTTTTGATGCAAAATTTATACCTGATTTAACTGCTAGTTTTCCTAAGGCTAATGCTCCTTTTTCAGAAAAGATATGGATGAATGAAACAGGTTACTCAACATGTCTCCCAAACCATGATTTGTTGCCATTGACTACCTACAAAATATAGTAAGCCGTTTCCCACCTGTTAATTGCAACATGTGTCATAAACGACTGGTTAGTTATAGTAAGGTACTCTCATGATGTCACAGACAACGAAAATGA